GTTTGTTGTCACGGGTCGTTGACCCGCAAGATGCTAGATATGTGAGCATTGGGCCGGTATTGTGAGGCCAATAGAAGATTGTCAGCATTTTCATTGAACAGAACGAAAGGAGCATACGTCGCTGCCATCAGCACCTTTCTAATCGAAGCCAAGCTGGTCACGAAGGTTCGCGTTGGCGATGAGGGTCGCAGGTTGAGCGTAGCACTGGATTTCTGGCACCCATGTTAGGGTTTGTAGTGGAAACTCGGCGGATAACACTAGAAGGTCCACAGTGACTGTCAAGTCTCGCTGCACGAACGGCGCAAAGTTGGCGCAAAGGTGAAGAGGCTCGTGACCATGTTTGGTGGCGGCAGGTGCCGTGCGGACCAGACAGCGGACAGGCGGATCGGCGGCGGTTCGGACTCTCGAAATTCGGAACCTTCTGTAACTAACCTAACTTTCAAACACTAGAAGCGAGGCCAAATGAGGATACTCTGGAACCAGATGCCAGCTGGGATTTGACGCGACCTGAAAAAATTAGGAATCCAGAGCCATAGCAGGCCCCCAGGTGTCCGTCGTCTTTGCCAACACAGTAACCCAAGCAGGATAGAATTGCCGAGGATTGAGAAAGGATGACCGGCGAAGAGGAACTTAGCCAGATGCGCTACCGCAAACTTCAAGTTACTAAGATCACTCCAAAAAGTAGTAAATTGTGAAAATGAACGTACCTGCCACCTGTAGCCTATGCCTCTTCTAGTGTTGCCGAAGTTCAGTCCAGAACTTCGGTTCGAACCCGAACCCTCTGAACCGAACACAAAGTTCGGTTCAAGTTCAGGTTCAGGTTCGGGCTCCAGAAAATTTCTGGAGAACAGGTTCGGACTGAATTGAACCTCTGAACCTTTAGCCACTGGTGGGCCTACTTTCCCTCTGTTTTGGACATTTTTTTGCAATTTTTTCGTTCAAAACTATTGTGATCTGTAACAACTACAGTATTTAAATGTAAAGTATCAATCCTTCATCTGGGTGATGGTTGATGGCCATATTTCGGGTTGCTTTCCCACACGTGCACTTGTTGGGGTCTGTTGTATAATATCTATTTGGCTTATCAAACATGGTTTGTGCCACGGCATTGCATAAATAACTGATTTTTAGAGATTACACATGTGTTTCGAAGCGTTTGGACACGAAAAAAAGGTGAAAAATTTGATTTAAAAAAATTACAAGGTTCAGAAGGTTCGAACCTGAACCGAACGCACAGTTCGGGTTCGGTTCAGGCTCGGAAAATTTGTAGGAGGTTCAGGTTCAGGTTCGGACCAAAGGGGGTCTGAACCGGACTGAACCGAACTTCGGCAACGCTAGCCTCTTCGCGAAATTTGACCTTGCTTCCGAGTGACTCTACAGCGAGAGGGACAAAAACGACTTCATCAACCTATCATCGTAATTCGGCCGAAAGGAGGGCGTTCCAGCTCAATTCCAGCTCGAGAATGTTTCCTACTTTGCTTTGTTGATTGGGGAGACGACAGCCACACAAAGGTCAACAACTGACGGTGAACTTGAATCTGTGCAAGCGAGATGTTTTATGTACATAGATTGAATGCTTACTGAATACTTTGAAGATCGATTATGTGCAGTTAGAACACCACACACAATCGGCGGACCGGGATTATCCGATTACGGCCCATGAAAGATCAACGACAGCGAGGCTTTGGCGAGGCTAATCCGGGGCCTCGCAAAA